ACACTCCTATTGAAAATCAGTTGACCATGGTTTTTTTTGTTTGTTTGCTTGTTTTTGACAATTCTATTCCATTGGCCTATATGTCAATCCTTATGCCACACTGATTCAATTATTTTAGCTTTGTAGTGAAATCAGAAAGTGTGAGTACTTTTACTTTGTTGTTCTTTTTCAATATGGTTTGGCTGTTTGGGGTCCCTTGCCATGTGAGTTTGAATTCCATGTAAATTTGAAGATTGGCTTTTTCATTTCTGCAGAAGAGGATGTTGGAATATCGTTAGGGGATGTGCTGACTCTAGATAGCTTTGGTAGTGTTTTCATCTTAAATATATCAAATCTTTCAATTTGTGAACACAAGATGTCTTTGAATTATTTAGGTATTTCATTTCTTTCAGCAATGTTTTATAGTTTTTAGTGCATAAATCTTTTACCTCCTTACACTATTGTAAGTGGAATTGTTTTCTTAATCTTTTTTGGATTGTTTACTGCTGGTGTATAGAAACACAACTGATTAGCCTGTTCTTTTGCTGAATTTGTTTATTAGTTCTAGTAATTGTTTCATGGATTCTTTGTGATTTTCTAAATATACAGGATCATATCATCCTATATAATAAAAGCCTAATATGCTAAGTGTTCGGTCAACCAGTTGGCCGTTCAACCAATAAAAGCGTAACATGTTGATGATATGCTGAGGCTGCTCAACCGCTAGCTATGACATGCACTGACCACCAGGGGGCAGATGCTCCATTCGGTATGTTAGCTTGCTGCTGGGGTCTGGCCAGTCGCGACTGAGTGAGAGGGGCTGGACATGCCCTGGAGCCCTCCTGTGGTCCCTCCCCGTGGGCCAACCTCCTGCGTCCCTCCCCGGCCCCGATTGTGTACCGGTGGGATCACTAGGGTTGGCCGGTGCCCTCTCGCAATCCAGGACCCCTCAACGGATATTGGAGAGCTGGTTTCAGCTCGATCCCATATGCCAGGCTGAGGAACCCCACTGGAGTATGAATTTGTGCACCGGGCCTCTAGTCTTCAAATATAGATAGTTATACTTATTCTTTCACATCGGATGCCTTTTATTGTTTTATTTTTCTCTAACTAAAATGTCCAATAACATGTTTAATAGTGGTGAAAGTGGACATTGTTGTCTTGTTTCTGATCTTAGGGGAACCTTTTGGTCTTTCATCACTGAGTATGATGTTAGCTGTGGGTTTTTCATAGATGCTCTCTATCATGTGGAGGAACTTCCCTTCTATTCCTGGTTTGCCGAGTATTTTTATCATGAAAGGATGTAGGATTTTGTCAAATGCTATTTCTGCCTCAATCGAAATGATCATGTGTCTTTTTTCCTTCATTTAATATTAAATTGAATGATTTTCATATATTGAACCACCCTTGCATTTCTGGGATAAAACCCACTTGGTCATGGTGTGTAATCCTTTTAATCTGTTGTTAAACTTGGGGTTTTGCTAGTTTTTGAACTTCATATACATGAAATTATTTAGTATCTAAAATTGAAAGAATTTAGTAAGTTAAAACCTATAAGATATACTTAGGACAGTATGTGGCACAAAGTACCACTATAATGTTATATCATCATCATCAGTATCATTTAATGCAGTGGTTCTCAACCTTCCTAATGCCGCGACCCTTTAATACAGTTCCCAACCATAAAATTATTTTTGTTGCTACTTCATAACTGTAATTTTGCTACTGTTATGAATCGTAATGTAAATACCTGATATGCAGGATGTATTTTCATTGTTATAAATTGAACATAATTAAAGCATAGTGATTAATCACAAAAAGAATATGTAATTATATATGTATTTTCCGATGGTCTTAGGCGACGCCTGTGAAAGGGTCGTTCGACCCCCAAAGGGGTCGCGACCCACAGGTTGAGAACTGCTGATTTAATGGATAGCCCCTTAAGAGGAAACAGGGATTCAGAAGTGAAATGACTTACTGGCGGCCGCACAGCAAATATAGCTCAGAGCTCACCTTGCCATCCTATTTCACATGTGCCATGTGAGTTGAGGGCTTGGACACTCTTTGCAAAGTAAGCTGATGATAAGAGCATTTATTGAGTGCCTGCAGTGTGTGCTGGGCCCTAAGCTGGAGGCTGTATGCTTGTGATCGCATAGTTTTTAACAGTTTAAGATATAATTTACATACTATACAATTCAGCCTTTTATTTACTTATTTAAAAATATATTTGTATTGATTTCAGAAAGTAAGAGAAAGGGAGAGAGAGGTAGAAACATCAATGATGAGAGAGAATCATCGATCTGCTGCCTCCTGCACACCCCACACTGGGGATTGAGCCCACAACCTGGGAATGTGCTCTGCCCGGGAATTGAACCGTGACCTCCTGGTTCATAGGTTGATGTTCAACCACTGAGCCATGCCAGCCGGGTGCAGTTCAGCCTTTTAAACTGTACAGTTCAGTGGCTTTTAGTACCCAGAGTGTGCAACCATCTCCACAATTAATATTAACACATTTTATTACCGTGCTCCTGCCTGCTTTCCTGTCCTCCCTCCTCCCACCTAGGTGCCTCTTGTGGTGCACAGTCTCACACACTGCTGTTCATGTCTACGGATTTGCCTAATCTGGACATTTTATATAAATATGCTCATCTAATTTGTGGTTCTTTTAGTTACGGTTCATCTATGTTGTAGCGTGTGTTTATATTTTGTTTCTTTTTATGATTGAATAGTATTATATTATGTGGATATGCCATACTTTGTTTATCCATTCATTAGTTGATGGACTTCGGGATCATTTTCACTTTTTACTATTATGAATAATGTTGCTGTGGGCATTTATATACAAGTTTTGTTTCACCATCTCTATTTTTATCTTTTGAGGACTTAAATAGCATTTTATTTTATTGAAAACTTTTATTTTATTAAAATAAAATTGATGTACACTATCCTGTTTGTTTCAGTTGTACCTCAGGAATTTGATATTTACCAGGTGTACTGGTTAATAATGTGGATTTTTTTCACTAGATGGAGTTACACATATGTTGATATATATGCAATTTGATATGTATGCTGTTTTTTTGTATTGACAACAGGCTTCAAAACTTCATATGACAAATTTTCAGAAGGTGTTAACATCATAGATATTTTTACACTTAAAATTGTAGATTTTCATGCCAAAAAAAGAGCATTTGTGGGAAGTTTTAATTCATTATTTTGAAGAAAAGTGCTGCTGAATACTTTGGGAAGCTTATGGTGAATATGCTCCATTTCAAGATACTTGTGAACATTGGTTTAAACACTTTAAAAGAGATTATTTCGATGTGAAAGACAAAGAATGTCCAGGTCAACCGAAAAAGTTTGAAGACCAACAATTACAAGCATTATTGGGTGAAGATGCCTGTCAAACTCAAAAACAACTTGCAGAAAGATTAAACGTTGCTCAGCAAACCATTTCTGATCGTTTACAAGCAATGGGAAAGATTTTAAAGGAAGGAAAATGGGTGCCACATCAACTGAACGAAAGACAAATGGAAAACTGAAAAGTCATCAGTAAAATGTTGCTCCAATGGCACGAAAGAAAGTCCTTTTTGCACCGAATTGTGACTGGCGATGAAAAGTGGATTTATTTTGAGAATCCCAAATGCACAAAATCATGGGTTGATTGATCCAGGTTAACCATCAACATCCACTGCAAGGCCAAATCGCTGTGGAAAGAAGACAATGCTCTGCGTTTGGTGGGATCGGGAAGGTGTGGTGTATTATGAGCTTCTAAAACCAGGTGAAACCATTAATACTGATCACCACTGACAACGAATAATCAATTTGAACCACTCTTTCATCATGAAATGACCAGAATGTGCCAGAAGACACGGCAAAGTAATTTTGCTTCATGATGACGCACCATCACACACTTCAAAACCAGTTAAAGACATGTTAGACGATCTTTCCTGGGAAGTATTAACTCACCTGCTATATTCACCAGACCTTGCTCCTTCAGATGACCACTTGTTCTGATCGATGGCACACGCACTTTCTGAGCAGCACTTCAAAACATACAAAGTGGAAAATTGGGTCTCTGAATGGTTTGCCTCAGAACAAGAAAGGTTCTATTGGGACGGTATCCACAAATTACCTGAAAGATGGGAGAAATGTGTAGTTAGCGATGGACATTACTTTGAATTAAGCACTTTTGATGTTTCTCTTGAAATTATAGTGTTTTCTTTGATTACAAAATCCTCCATTATTAACCAGTACACTTAGTATATACATTATGGAATGATCCCCATGATAAGTGTAGTTATCATTTCTCACCTTACAAAGTAATTACAATATTTATTGACTGTGTCGCCTATGCTGTACTTTATATCCCCATGATTTATTTATTTTATAACTGGAAGTTTGTGCCTCTTAATTTCCTTCACCTATTTTACAGCCCATCTCATTTTCTTCAGCAGACTTGTGAGGAGTGGGTTCTTGTAAGTGTGTGTGTGTGTGTGTGTGTATGTGTGCGCGCGCGCGCGCGCGTATATACACCGGATGCTTGGATATTCACAGTGAGAACAAATAGAAGGGGTCAAGGGACACTTGGAGGGCACAGCAACAGTTATACCCGGACTGGCACAGTGTTTTTACATTTGATCCAACTGCACGGCTGTACTGGTGAATACCAGCCCATGGGGTTTGGCCTTACAGGGCCACAGGGCATGTGTGTTTGGAAGCTTGGGCCTCTCCTGGGACTGGGCCACGTGCTGGCAAGGATGGCTTGCTGTTGGCCACACGCTGAGCAGCTGGTGCCCTGGGCCACTGCAGCAGGCACCTTCCTGCCAGGCATGACCTCTGAATCACTGGGCACAGCCTGGCACCAGCCTTCATCGGCAGGGGCGACCTCAAAGGTTTCTCTTGGAGAGGCAGTATCCTGCCTACCCTCATCCACCCTCCTCCCACCCCGGTGCCCCTTGTGAGGCACGGTTACACCGGGCTGTCTGCCCTGACCTCTCTCCCTCTCCTCTGCCTTCGTTCAGGTGAATACATCAAGACGTGGAGGCCCCGGTACTTCCTGCTGAAGAGTGATGGTTCCTTCATTGGCTATAAGGAGCGGCCCGAGGCCCCTGACCAGACGCTGCCCCCTTTAAACAACTTCTCCGTTGCGGGTACGTCTTAGGGCAAGTGGCTGGGCCAAAGTTTGGGTGCTCCAAGGACAACTGGCTGGTCTTGTGGGCACATGGGGATTGGCTGTTCTTGGACTGTGGACCTGACCAGGGCCTGTTTGCCCTATTTCTTACCCTTCCCCTGCTCCACCTACGTGTCAGTTGGGTGAGGTAAAGTGGGAAGAGGGAAGAAGCCAGACATTTTTCCCAGTCTCTCCCCCAGGCAGCACTGCCTCTGTGGTTCCAGCTGCTGCTGGCCAGGCCCTGGGGTCTGGCTGGTGTCATGTGCCTCTGCATTCTGGTAGCAGCCTGTTTCTCTGTCCCTCTAAACTAGAGGCATCCATGGCCTCCCATTCAGCTGATCACAGGGCTAACCTTGAATCCTCCATCCCCTCTGTGGTATCCGAAATGATGCCTACCAGCTGGACCCTGGCCAGTGAAAGCTCGGCAGGCCCAAAGCCCTTGCCTGGATCTTGCATAACCACAGTCCTGCCTCCATCTCTCTGCCCCCTGCCCCCGCGCCTCCCCCGCCCCCCCCACCCTACCCCATTCTGCTTCCTTCCTTCCCTGCTGACCTGATCGGTTACCACATCCTAAGCACATTTCAAAGACACCCCCATCTCCACTGTCAATCCTTAGCACAGGCCACCATTCTTTCCCACCTAGTTCCCTGCTCCAGCCTCTTGCCGAGTCTCACCCTACCCACTGTCTCTGGAACCCAGTCCTGGTCCCCTCTGTCCTGCTTAATCCTTGTCCTGGTCGCTTTCCTGTATGCTGGTGACCCTGACATGGCTGCTGTCATTCCTGCCTTCTCACCTGAACTGCCAGCCTGTCTTGAGCAGCTTCCTCCTCATTTCTTCCTGGGTGTTCCCTAGGTCCCTCATACCCACCATGTCCCAAACTGGCCATCCAGTCTCCCCTTTCCTCTCCCAACCTCCCACTCCCTATCTCCATTCAGGGAGGGCCCTATTGTCTTCTAGTCCTCAGGCCACAGGCCTTGGCCTCATCCTAGGTGCCTCTCTCTCCCTCCCTCTGGCCTGTCTACCTGCCTCTTCCTCCACTCTCCATGGCTCCACTCTGTGTAGCCCCAGCCTTCTCCTTGGGCTCCCAGCCTCCATTCTCTCTCATCCTCTACATGGCAGCTAGAGGGATCTGTTTAAATCTGTCCATGCCCATTCCCTATTTAAGCCTCCCATAGCTCCCTGTTGCTCTCAGGACAGAGTCCAGATTCCTCACCATTTGCAGGCGGGCTCACTTCCCTGCTCCTCACACCATGAGCAGAATTTGCCATTCCCTAAGTGTGCTGGGCCTCTGGCACCTCCGGGCTGTGTACACGACGTACCCTTCTGTCGGACTGACCCATGTTCCCTCTTCCTTCAGAGTTCAGTGTAGAGATGCCCCTTCCTCCAGAAGTTGGCCCTAGGTTCCCCCCATCACAGTTCTGACCACTGAGCCATCATTGTCTAGTGTCTCTCTCTCTCTCTCTCTCTCTCTCTCTCTCTCTCTCTCACACACACACACACACACACACACACACACACACGATCTTGTGCCCCACGGGGGCAAGTCCAGAGCTGTCTGTCACTAAGGTGTCCTTAACACCATCTGGCATGCGGTTGGCACACAGGATGTGACTTAGGGGATGTGGGCTGTAGGCCAGCAGGGCTGTCCCTTACCCTCCTGTCTCTGTCCTTCCTCTGCCTACAGAGTGCCAGCTGATGAAGACCGAGAGACCGCGGCCCAACACGTTTGTCATACGCTGCTTGCAGTGGACCACAGTCATCGAGAGGACCTTCCACGTAGACTCTCCCGATGAGAGGCGAGTCTGGGCCTCTGTGTGGCTGCCTTTTGAGAGTGGCAGGCCTGATGAGGGGAAGGGGTACAGATGGGCAGACTCCCCTGTACCCCAGTTTTTAACAGGTGGAGCGCAGGCCACATCAGGGCCTCTGATTATCTGGAGATGGGTGGAGGGTCAGGGAGCTGCATTGCTAATGCGCATCTCCATTGCTTTTGAGGCAGGCGGTCAGAGACTTAATCAGAAGAGATGATACAGGTTTACCGAGTTTAAAAATCATACAATATAAGGAAGGTGTCTAGCTTCCCTCTCCCTTCTGTCTCACCCCCAAGTTAACTGCTCTCCTTATGTGCCCTCCAAGAGCTTCTTCCGGAGGGGACGGGCTCGCTCACTCCGGGAGGGCCTTTCACGCCGACTCCCCTGGGTTTTCTTTGTTACACAAAAGGTAGCACTGTACATGCACTAGAGCTCTTTTACTTGATTTGTCTTGGGGAAAGCTCTTGCTTCAGTCTGTAGTGAGCTGCTGCTGCATTTTTGTTTTTTTTAAACAGCTGCACTTGTATGCTCCCTAGTTCATAGAGCAATTCTTTATGGATGGTGACTGGGCTTGTTTCCAACCTTTGGCTGATTACAAGCAATGCCACAGTGCGGTACCTGTGTTTGTCTTGTTGGCATATGTGCTGCTAAATTTGTAAGATGAATTCTTAGATGGAGGCTTGCTGGGTTATAGGGAATATGTATTTGTAATGTTGAGAAATGTTTCTATTAGGCTATGTCTGAGTCCACACAGCTTTGTGTATTTAGATGTTTGGGTTTTTACCAATCTGATCAGTGAGAAATGGCACCTCAGGATGGTTTTCATTGGCCTTTCCTCTGGGTTAGAGTTCCTTTCATATATTCAAGGGCCATGTGAATTTCTCTTTCTGAAATGCCTGCTCATATCCTTTGCCTGTTTTTCTATTGGGTAGTCTTTTTTTTTATTTCTTTCTGAAAGCTCTTTATGCTTTAGGAAACTTAACCCTTTGTAATGAGTGGCAAATATTCCCCCCTGTCCCTACTTTATCCCTTTGAGCCTCTCTTTGAGAAATACTCCTTTAACTTGTCTCTGGGGTAAGGATTCAGCTGACCCTCTGGAGAACCCAAAACAGTGCCATCCAAGAGAATTTTCTGCTGTGATAGAAATGTTCTGTACTTGCAGTGCCCAAGCAGGTGCCCGTGGTGCATTTGAAATGTGGTTGGTGCAACTGAGGAATAAAATTCTTTTATTTAATTAATTTAAATTTAAATAGCCACATATGACTAGTGGCTATACTCATAGACAGTGTATTTCTAGAGCATACACAAAACAGTATCACAAGACATATTACCACAATCTATACTGTAATTATTGTTGCATACCTTCCCAAGATCAAAAATATATTTGTCCCTTCAAGGGGAACAGAATTACCATCTCAAGCCAGCTGAGGTTACTCAGCTGAAAACTGAACCAAAACATAGACTGTCAGTAAAAGCCGATTAAGACCAATAAATGCATAGGACCTGAGTGTTGGCTGAGTTTTGGAAGTATAGGTAGGAAGGAGTTGGCCACAGAGATAGGAAAGAGAAGGTGACTCCAGGAAGAGGGACCAGCATATGTAGAGGTCTGGAGGTGAGATAGCTTGTCATTCCAGGAACATCGAGGGTTTTGTGTCACCAAAGAATCAAGCACCAGAGGTTTTGGGAGGGGAGGAGTGGAGAACCTTAAAGCTGGTGAGTTCAGCCAGGGCCTGGACTCCCGGTGGAGATCCCCAGGGGCTTGGCAGGTGGTGACTCAGTTGGGGTTTGTCACAGGTCGCTAAAAGGTTCAAGGGGCTGACAAACAGGAAGCCCTTGATTCAGCGGTACCTGGCACACAGTGTGCAAGCCTGGAAAAGGAGCAGTGGGAGCTGGCGAAGTGTTTTCATGGGCAAGAGACCTGCTCTGGTTTTCACTTTAATGAGATACCATGCCCTTCAGTGTGAGGAAGTCCCTTTCTGAAGACTGGGGTAGGGCTCTGAGAGCAAACCCCAGCTTCCTGACCTTTATCCCAGTGAGGCGTGAGCCAGAAACCCAGTGAAAGGCAGTCTGCTCTGCTGTGGGCTGTCCTCACTGCCCCAGCCACATAGGCCCAAGCCTGGAGAGAGGTGGGGGGTGGCGGTAGAGAGCTGACAGGGGCCACACTGGTGGCTGGTCCTTGCCTAGATGCTGCAGTGGCCTGCTCACTGCTCCTGGTAGCCTCTCCTGCTCCCCAGTTGGCTCTCCTGGGCAGCTAGAGGGATTCCCTGAGCCCCGCCCTGCCAACTTATTTCCAGTGCACATTTAGTATAATAAATGAGGGTCCAGGGTGATAAAGGGGGACATATGTAATACTTTCAACAATAAAGATATTTTTTAAAAGGTTCAGATTCCTGTGCCCTGAGTCAGCAATTCAGCATTTGCCATGTTTGCCTCATGCTGAATCTTGAACTTCTGTTCATATATGACACTTACCTCCTTAATACCTCAGCAGGCTTCTCCTAAGAATAAGGACATTCTCCTACAGAATCATGGTATCATTATCACATCTGAGGTGATTCTTTATAATATACTAGAAGCCCGGTACACAAAATTTGTGCACGGGGGTTGGGGTCTCTCAGCCTGGCCTGCGCCCTCTAGCAGTCCGGGAGCCTTCGGGGGATGTCCGACTGACGGCTTAAGCTGTTAGTGGGACATCCTTAGCACTGCCCTAGAGATGGGAGCCCAGCTTCTGGCTGAGCGGCGCTTTCCCTATGGGAGCACACTGACCACCAGGGGGCAGTTCCTGTGTTGAGCATCTGCCCCCTGGTGGTCAGTGCGTGTCATAGCAACTGGTCAGTCCACTGTGGTTTATTTGCATATTAGTCTTTTATTATATAGGATATCTAGTAACATCCTCCCCATAGCCATGCCATACTTGAATTTCCCCAGTTGTCCTCAAAATGCTATTTTGTAAAGCAGGATTTATTCAAGGTACATGTTGTCTTTTTGGCTTATTTTAATGTAGTTCAGACCTTTCCCTTTTCCCCCACATGACATTGAATTTTTTTAGGTAAACCAGGCTAGTTGTCTTGTAGAATGCCACACTATGGACATGTTATCTTACTGCCTTTTGGCACTGTTTACTTTGGTCTTCTGTACCCATATTTCTTGTAAACCGGGAATTAAGTCTGGAGCAGGATTGGCAAACTATAGCTCAGCCTCCTGTTTTGTAAATAAAGTTTTATTGGAACACAACCATACCCATGGCTGCTTTTTCCCTACTGTGGTATAGTTGAGTAGTTGTGATAGAGACCATGTGGCCTGCAAAGCCTAAAATATTTACTGTTTGGCGATATCCAGAAGTTTGTAGACCCTGGTCTTGGCAGGTATGCTTAATAGTGTATTACATTAGTGTGATCTTTTAAATGTACATCTTATAATGTAATTTCTCTTCTTAAAAGTGAGTGGCTTTTAGTCCCACTTGGAATAAACCACAAAGTCAATGCTACATTCTACAAAGTCCTACATGGTCTGGCCCCCTCTCCAGAATCATTTCCTACCACTAGTGTCCTCACTTTAGCCACACTGGTCTCCTCACTGTTCCTTAAATAGGCCAAACACGCTTTCTACTTGAGGACCTTTGCACTTGTTGTTCCCTTTGCTTAGAATCTTCTCCCAGATATCATTATGATTCTCTCCTTGACTCCATAAGGTCTCTGCCCAAATGTCACCTTCTCAGAGTGTTCTGCCTTGGTCCCATATCCCTGTTACTCTTACCCTGCTATTTTTCCTCCATAGCACCTGTGTATTTATATGTGCTGGGAGCATTCAGTAAATGCTTGTTGAATAAGTAAAAGGATAACTAAAACTAATTCTCTGTTGGCCACACCCTGTTCTAAGATCTTTACATATATTAACTCATCCTCAAAACATTTTTAGGAGCCCTAACCGGTTTGGCTCAGTGGATAGAGCGCTGGCCTGCGGACTGAAAGGTCCCAGGTTCGATTCTGGTCAAGGGCATGTAACTTGGTTGCGGGCACATCCCCAGTAGGAGGTGTGCAGGAGGCAGCTGATCGATGTTTCTAACTCTCTATCCCTCTCCCTTCCTCTCTGTAAAAAATCAATAAAATATATTTTTAAAAAAAACATTTCTAGGAGGCAGTTCCTCACCTGTTAAATAGGGATAATGGTAGTGAAATGGAGGCACAGGGAATTAGAATAAGAAAGATCGGGTGGGCCATCTCAGGGTATCTGTGAACAGAGTGGGACTTCAGATATCCTCCAGCTGTAAACACCCCTCTGGGTCAGAGGACGGCCCTGGTAGGGAGAGAGGCCCCCCATTTGTCATCAGACCAGCAGTGAGTTGAGTTGTTACTCCTGACACTGTGAAGTGGACAGACCTGTGTGTTGAGGGTAGACCTTCTACTTCCAGTTTACTGGGCTTCCCTCTGGGGTGCACTTAATCCCGCTCAGCTGGGGATCTCGGGGTTGGGGCCCAGGCTCTGGAGTCAGACCAGCACTGTGCCACTTTCTCAGTGGGGCTAGCTCCCTGACTGTCATGAAGAACAAAGGAGGAAGTAAATGTGAAAGCTGGCCTGGGGCTGCCCCATGGAATCCTGCTTGTTGGCACCTTTTCTCTTCTCCATCTCCTCGGCCCGGAGCACTGCTGTAGTCTACTCATACCCGGTCACTGCACCCAATCTGTGTCCTACACAGCAGCTGCCAATTTAAAACAAATTGGGTCCTGTCATCCCTAAGTAAACCTTCAGTGACTTCCCCTGATGTTAAGATGTAAATCTTGGAGAAGACAGAACCTACACAGAACCTAGAGACAGAAGAACTTCGCTGGAGAGAACATGGCAAAAGATCCTGGACTGAACCTGACTACAGAAATTGGCAAGAGAACCTGACTAGAACCTGGTGACTGAACCTGGCTGGAGAACCTGGCTGGAGAACCTGGAGAACCTAGCAAGAGAACATGGACACAGAACCTGGCTGGAGATCCTAAC